GTTCGCGTTCGTTACAGTGTTGTTTTAGCGCGAGTATTGAGATTAAGTGTATCGCAGAGTTATATTCGAAAAGAATAAACCAGTTTTATTAAGTAAAGACTTGTGTCGTTAAAGTTTCGTTGGAATGAAGTTACGGAAAAAAATCAATTAACAAACGGAGACGTAACAATAGCATGAAACATTATCCTTTGATATAGTTTTGTGCATGATGCAGTAAACACAAATCATTTTTAGCATAAAACTATGACTATCCAAACACTTCTATATGTATCCAGATCAATGACTGTTTTGGCTCATTCAACAGAGTTGTGAGATGATTACTTAGAAGTAACTTGCTTTGTAATTCATATGCACCTTATCAATTTGGTGAAGCTATGAAAAGTTTTATAGTTATAAATTACCAAATAGATCAATACTGAAACCACAAACATTTGTGATATTTTTCAAGTTGTTTGCTTCCTTTTAATATTCTGTAGTTCATCTGAACTATTTTAGTCAGCTTTTGCCTCTTCATTTAGCTCCCGTCAATTTACAGTACAGTTCTTCTCCGTACTTAAGAATTATCTTAAATAAACTGTAGAATATTTTTTAAAATACTAGGGAAAATTATACAAAACCTGTTAATCTAAATTAAAGCCAAGAATGTTTACGAGTGATACTGGTAATCCTCTAACTATGAAAATAAATTAGAAACATATCTTTCCACAAAGACTGCATTTCATTCATTAACTAGGAAAGTAATAACTTAAATTTGCACATGGTTTTATCTTACAATATACAGTGCTCCCTGTAAATGAAAATTTAATTTTAAGGTTTTACTTTTGTCTCATTATTCAATAACAGTAGTTAAGTGAGTAGACATATCAAACATTACAATTTAAACAAAATGATCACCACCTAACAAATATGTTTGCATATGAAAACAGTAAAGTAATAAATTTTTAACCATGAAATTCAGAAAACAATATCACTAAGAGAAAAAAAAACAATTAAAAACACCAATAAAAACATTAGATGGAAATAAAAATGTGTTAAAAGTAATAAATTACTTAATATGATCTTTCTTTCAACAAATATAACTTCACCATATTACATTTTAAGTGTCTTCAATGATTATATTAAGCAAAGACATTTTATTCTTTATTTTAAATGGTTTCACATAACTATTTTTTGTCCCTTAATTAGGCTAATAGTAGGCTACTGGTGAGGAATATAAGCATACAATATGTTTTCTATCTTCTTATATTAATATTTGAATTTTTAAATTTTGTTATCTGTGCAGCTTCATATAACATATTCAATCAAGAAGGTCATTAAGCTTATTTTGCTCTAGTTACCTATTGTCCTCTGTCACTCACCTATAGTTATACCTTTTTTTTCGGTAAAAATAACAGTAAAGACATTTGTAGTTATGTAAAGTTACAGTTATATTTTTTATTGGCAGTCAGGTGACCCCTTGAGGTAATAACCTTTATCACGTTTCATTGAGAATGACCAGTCACAGAGGTGATACTAGTCACTCTGGGTAAACCTGACTTTAACAATTTAAGTAGGTAAATGTGAGATTTATTCAGTCTGGAACAGGAGATTGACAGAGTTAGACCTGCTTATGATCCAACTTTGAATATTTTCTAACCAAATTCTCTAATAGAGGTGACTATCCATTGTGGCAAGTAAAGTATATATATTCACTGTGCCTACCAACCTGTACCCATGATGTTTATGATATTTTAGCCAGATATTGGCTGGAGTTTGTAGTGGTGAGGCTTTGGCCATTACCATGGGCCCCATGAGTAATGCAAAGCCAATCACACCCATAACTTTAGAGAGTACATCAAAAGAAGACCTTGACTGTTTCCTAAAGCATTTCAAGTAGATAACTGACTGAAATAGCTGGTCTCCAGAACAGTCTGCCTAATGCCTGATCTTAAGTTTGGGTAGCCCAGCTCTGTTTGTTAAATCTGACCAAACTGTCTGCGATGAATACTTGCCATACATCACAAGGTCATACATAGCAAATAAGTAGAGGTAAACAGCTTGTTCACTGAACATACTCATGTTTGTTGCAGTAAGTCCTGCTCCTTATAGGTGTGATATATGGTTTTCTCCTTAAGGCAGACATTCCATAATGTTTACAAGAATATATGAAGTGGTTAAGATCTGGGTTAATTGTCATGCATGAACACTTGTACCAACAGCTAAGAAAGTTGC